GAAACAAGAAAAGTTTGGCCTTTTCCCACCCTCAAAACTACATCACTGTACTAAGCCCTCCGATTCAATCTCTACATCTCTCACAATATATGTCCCAAATTCTCCAGCCCCACTGCCCCAGTCCAGCTGCACTTCAGTCTCTCCCTGGTCTACTGTTAACAGCCTCCTAACTGGCACCCCTGCCTCTGGTCCTCTTCCTTTTCAATCCACCCTTTGTATTGATGCAGAATGATGTTACAAAATACCAAGTGTTAGCCTCTTGCTCTTGTTTAACATCTTTTACAAACACATAAGGCCCTTCACCTCTCTATCCACAACCAAAGGATACTCTAGGTTGCACTGATAGCAAAACACTCTCATAGCTCCCATCAGCCTGGAAAGCCCTGCTCGCCACACTCCCTTTTCCTGGTTAGGCTTTACTTTTCATGACTCAGTTACTATTTCATCACGGCTCCTTGGAAGCCCTTTCCTAGCCTTTCTCTATGGCAGTCAGCCTGTAGAAATAACCAAGAGTTCCTTGAGATCAGGAGCCACACCTTACTCTCTGCATAACCAAGGTACAAAAGCATTTTCTTCTTAGTAAGGTATTTAATGTGGGAAAGCCATATATGGGTTTTAAGATCCCATTTTTGCCCTGACCGCTTTGACTCAGTGCATAGAGCACTGGCCTGCGGACTGAAGGGTCCCAGGTTCGATTCCGGTCAAGGGCATGTCCCTAGGTTGCGGGCACATCCCCAGTAGGGAGTGTGCAGGAGGGAGCTGAATTGATATTTCTCTCATCAATGTTTCTAACTCTCTATCCCTCTCCCTTCCTCTCTGTAAAAAAAATTAACAAAATACATATTTTTAAAAAAGATCCCATTTTTATCTTCGGGCAGTCCTGGCTAAGAACGTGGGAGCAAAAGTAAACAAATGGACACTGTTAAAACAGCAGTTAAGGCAGAGTCAAGGAACTCCTTTTACCTGGTATTCTTTCAAGAAATCTATACTTACCTAACATTCCTGTGGAAAGAAGACCACAGAAGGTTGACTGTAAGCAGCCCTCACTTCTTGAGATATACCTGATTTGGGGAAGCTATTGTTCTATTTTTGGTGCTTGGTATATAAATATTTGTTGAATGAATAATATGTAACAAATACTAAGTTATGTGTCAGGTACTGGGCATATAATATCACATTTACTTTTCACAATGGAAAGAATGAAGGAATTACAGCACCTTAATCCATGGTAGCATTTTCCTTTTTATATGAGTATAGCAAGTTTATCTCTAAGTGAAATAACAACAGACATTTCAATTGCACTCACCTCAAGAGCGATGTTCATCAGCAGTAGATCCTTTGGTCACACTCCTTTATAGCTTACCTTAAAGTAGTTTTCTTCCAGAGTCATCATTTTAAACTAACTCAATGGATTCTATACACACTACCCATGCTTGCCTCAGAAATGATCACTGATAAACTACAGTTAAAAGCTTGATTGACCAGCAGATGGAGAGCATAATGAAGGAACTAGTTATTCCAATTTATTTAACCAAATATGAATTCAGGTCTGAAAATGGCCAGGCCTGTATTTTGACAAGAACACTATGCCACACAAATCATTGATTCTAAAACAGCACAAAAAGATTTTGGACAGGGAAATGTGAAGAAATGGGTAAGAAGTGATAACTAAAAAATTGTTATCTCGATCAGTTCAAATAATGAGGTAGACACCGTTTAGAATTTCTTCACCTCATATTCTGGTCTTTCTCATTCAAGGAGAATCAAATGTGCAAAGAACTCAACTACACAAAACTCATAGGAAGTCTACTCCCAAATCTTCCTTGATAAAAGAATGTAAAAGAAATCCTCATGTCCAAGATATAGGACGGACTGGAGAAGGAAATCAGTTGAAAAGGGAGTTATGAATAGCTGCATTATATACACTAAAAGTGTTAAGGGAAGATTGAAATTACACTAGTAGAAATCTAGCCTCTCTAAAATTCAATATCTAAGATTAGTTTCTCTTTTCAAATAGTGACTGTGCACATTTAATTTTTATTTTACTTGAAACATCTGACAAGCAACAAACAGAATTACAGAATAGTCAATGAAGAATACATTGAGAGTACATAAAAATATTTACTGAGAATGAAGTTTCTCACAGTACAGTTAAAGCGTGGAAATTATAGTTTAGAAATACAATTACAGAAGACAAGAGACATTAAACCTGTCATAACTTTTTAAGAGAAAAGAACAATAGTTTATAGAAAACTAGGTTAATTTAAAAATACAATTCTTTCTTAAAAATGTCTTATGCAAACAATGCATATGATAGAGTAAATCAGCCTAAGAATAAAAGAATTTAAGGGTTAGAAGTATGGTTATATTATCTAACCCACTCCATTTTATAGATGAGAAGACTGAGGCCTAATGAGTAGCTTTGCCTGGCCAAGAAATACTTAATGTTTTGCATACTTCCTAATTATAGGTTTAAGTTAATCTCCATTTCATTATATATACTGCCATTTGCCTAGACAGTATCTAAAAGAGACTACATTATTAAGATCTGAGCTCTGAATCCAACTGTCACTTGGTAGATTGTTTCAAAAAGGACACATAAAAGGTAGAAAAGACAGCACTACTAGTATTTCTTTAAAATGTGAATTCCTCATGTTAGCTTTTGAATACCATTGATTCTTATAAAATTATTCTATGTGGTAGGTCAACTATAATCAGACTGAAAATAAGTGTGCTAAATATTTATAAGAAATCAGATGTCACCCTAACTGGTTTGGCTCAGTGGATAGAGCTTTGGCCTGCGGACTGAAGGGTCCCAGGTTCTATTTCAGTCAAGGGCATGTACCTTGGTTGTGGGCACATCCCCAGTAGGGGGCGTGCAGGAGTCAGCTGATCGATGTTTCTCTCTCATCGAAGTTTCTAACTCTCTATCCCTCTCCCTTCCTCTCTGTAAAAAATCAATAAATATACTTTTTAAAAAAGAAATCAGATGTCTTTATAGCCCTAATGATCTGTGCTATTTTTGTATACACAAACAAAATAGTCTTATAGTGTACTCCTATTTTCTAAAACTATCTTTAATGAGGAATATGTAATGTTAATTATCAGCTTGGACCTTTTGATGTTTTCTAGTTATAGAGTAATAATTTGGGGAAAACATTTACCAAGATAATAGTTTAAGAGAAGCCAAAATTTACCAGTTCCTTGTGTTGTCTTTATCAGTTGTTATTGTACCACATGTAATGAACCATGACATAAAATCAACTTAATAAAATGTATTGAGTAACTATTACATGTAAGGCGATCAAATATTTTGTCTAGACATAATCAGGTCAAATTTAGTTTGTTATTTCAGTTCCAAATAATGTGGTAATACATTATTCCAGAATTTTTTGGAACCTGGTGGGTTCAGAAAAATTTTAGAACCATTTTCTAAAACTTGCTTTGAATGCACTGGCATTCTGAACCTCTGTACTTCATGTCCTTTCCCCTTTTTTTGATATGTTATATCTCTCTCATATTTCACAGATCCTTTGATTTTGCTCACTTTTCTGGACTCTTTTCCTTCACCCTGTTTTCCCAGCCTTTCACTCCCACCATTGCCTGTCTCCTGGTATTTCCCATCCTCTTTCTCACTGTCCTCTTTCCCCTCCTTCCCTTTTCTCTTGTTTTCTTCCACTTCCCTTTTCTCCACTTTCCCCTCCCTCCTTTCCCTTTCCTGGCCTTCCTCCTTCCTTTCTTCCCCCTCTCCTTCCTCCCCTTCCCCTTCTTCCTCCCCATTCCCCTCTCCTTCTTCCACTTCCCCTTCTTCTTCTTCCCCTTCCCCCTCTTCTTCCCCTTCCCCCTCTTCTTCCTTCCCTCTACCCTCTTCTTCCTT